ATATATTTTTTTTTTATTGAGAAGATCGCGGCCTAGTCAACAGAATAAAACAGAATATGAACGGTTTGCTTCTATAGCGGTCTTATAAAATCTTTTCGTACTTTTTCTACATGTTTTAATGTTCAATATTAAGTGCAGAAATTAGCACCATAAAAAAAAACTTTAAAAGGTTACTCAGCTGAATACGACTGAGTGTCACCAATATGTCTAAGCTTTTCGGAAGTATAGCAGTGCGTCACAGATCAATTTGAAATGGACATAGGTATATTATAATTGCGTTAAATGATAACAATAAATGTAATATTTAGGACACATTTTTACACGTTTCCTGGTCCCAAACTAAACAACGCTTGTACTATGCGTACTAGATGACTGATAATCATATTTATACATGCTATTCTTTTGTAAATAAATACCCAGACACTGGAAAACACTATGTTCATCACACAATATTTTTCCAGTAGCGGGGATCGAACCCGGTGTGAACAGAGGGTGTCTCTGGCGCAAGTAGCGCAAGTATCACCACTCCCCACACCAATCGGATCGTCATTCTTAAAGTAGACAAAGGGTGGTTTTGATTTATGTAAATATTTAAAAACATTGTGAACATAATCAATATTGCTTACGTCAAGAAGATGCTCGGAGAGTTCTATTTAAAGAGCCACCGGTTTCACCTTGACCGCTAACAGATACTCGTGTAAGACGGACTTGAGTATTCTTAGTTGAAATTGCTTCATTCACTTCGAACGTTTCAGTTCGGATTTAGTTAATGCTCAATTGAAATAAAGCATTAACAAGAACTTTCATGCAACTGTATTACAATAAAAATGTATTCTATAATCACATTATTTTACTTTTGGAATGATATGAATATTCAATTTTATAGTTATATAAAGATAATAATAAAATTTAATAGTGAACTTCTCATAGTTGTGTAACGGAGATAAGTCGTCAATCGCTTTTGTGAAATACGTATTTTTTTCTATAATAGGTAAAATATTATGATTTTGTTTTGCAATATAGTATATATGTATTAATGACTATTGATATGCCTACTCAATATGTAAATAATGAAATAAATAGGTAATAACTTTATTTTATACTATGTAGTGATATTGTTACGATTGCTGAACTGACGTCTTGCCGTGATAGTTTTGAAGTACGCACTTATTTAAATTGTTATTAATTCTAGATAAAAGTTCTTACCTTAGATTTGTTCAACTCAAAGTGGGAAGTAGAGAAAGAACACAAAGAAAATTAAAGTGAAAAGTGGTAGTGAAAGTGAGAAGAGGTTAGGAAGCGTAAGAAAACGTGGGTTAAGTTGCGGCAGCCACAGATGTAAACAGCCACGAAAAGAAAGTAAGATGAAAATAGGACAAGAAGTGACAATAAGCGATGCACCTCTTTAGCATGCATCGTTGACGCAAAGCGTGGCCAGTTTGATTTAGCAATGATTCACTTCAATTATATTTTACTTGCAGTACAGTTTAAGGGCCGATTACGTAAACAACACGAATTGAGGAAGAAAGGCAGAGGTTGGCTTGCCCATAAAATTATTATAACTAAATTGTTCACTTCACTTTCTCATACATAATGGAGACATCGTTTACGAGAAAAGAAATTTTATGGTAATAAATTAATAAGAAAGTCAGCCAACTAGAATAAACGAAAGCAATTAAATTTTATTTCCAATGCATTAATAAGATCAGCATTTGAAAAGTTTGCTTTATGTTGACATAAAAAAATGTTACCTGTATAGTAAGTATTATTTAGCAGGCGAATTTCATACATAAATAATTTAAATGTCTTATTTTCGTTGTACATTTTACCTTAAGCGTTTTCCAATGGTCCACACCTATATCATCTAATTTTAAAATATTAACGAATATCCATTTCACGTTGAAAATAAAAAAAAGAATGAGTTGGACAATTCCCACTTAGTGCTTATATCAGAGGCTTGGGTTTTTTGCAGCATTTAGTATTGTAATTATTATTGTTTGGTCGCGATCAATAATCCGGATTTCTTTTTTTAAAAAATCGTTCAAACATTTTGCTGGTTTATTTCTTAAATTGTCCAAGACAGGTTAGTCATTATTCATATTGACCGGGAAGTGTTATTTCATGCAGTTTTATTTACATAGCCCACTTGATACGGGCGTATTGTATATAGGACGGTCCTTATTTTATGATAATCATAATGAACGGCCTTCTCAAACTGCCCGTAGCATCTATATATATATATATATATAATTCTTCTGTACGTGTGTGTATGTCACTGAACTCCTAAACGGCTGGTCTGATTTTAATGAAATTTTTTGAGTGTCTTCAGGTCGATTAGAGAATGGTTTAGATTCACAACTCGCTCCACTACCTTTTTTTTTATTTATAATTTGCTGTCGGATTTACGTCTTGGGTACAGGACGTCTGTCGGGACCACTAGTTTACATATATGTTCAGAAATATTTGTTTATTTTTTATGATACTTCACACCGGTCTCCTACGATGCTGTCATACTTCCCCAGTCGAGCTTTCCCACCAACCCAATAACACAGGCTGCTGCGTGACCCTGCCACAACAGATTCTATGATGATTAAAAGTTAATCATCATCTAAAATTACTGCTTTTACTACTCGAGACTCATAAAATGCATCTTTATACCGCACGACGGTTTTATCGATAACCTTTATGGCAAATAAAAAGGGATGTTAAATAAAACGATCAAAATTATCACCGATAAATTATTTAATAGCTTTGTTATTATATACACATTCAATGGTTTCCAATAAAGAGCTAAAAAGTCTATTAATTCATTTATAACGTTACGGATTTCAAGTCTACGTTACGCATACAAATTTCATTTCAATTTTATTTATCACAATTTAATACCTTATCGCTAAATATAATAATAGGCTTGGTGTAAAAAATAAATCATTCGAATTATGAGAGACAATACATTATATGATTCCTATAAAAAAAGTAATAAATAAAAAATGGATAAAATGAGAACAATATTAAAATTAAATTAAATTTACTGGAACAGCTCGCTACTTTGAATCCAAATAGAAGTTTTAAGTAGCGATTTTGTAAAAGCTCCACTTAGGGCAATATTAAGACAGGCCTTTTATAATAGCCTGTGTATTGTTCACGCTCAACCTTACACTAACATCGTGTTACCGAAACTAAAGTTGGGTTCAGATGCCGAGTAAACAAGATGAAACAGTATCGATGCAATTCGAGTCCAGAATAAAAATTAGCAGCACCAATAATAGCTCCCCTTGGCCACCGTAAAATATTACAAGTTTTTGGAATTTTACAGTGAGCGTTTCATTTGCGATGTACAATTGCTATAAATAACATGAGCGTATTCGAGTTATAAATGCCATTGGACGTGTCAATGGCCTTTGATGAAAAAGAACTGCACTTCTTGATCAATGTTTTTTCTTTAAATAATCAGTAGATCGAATCAGGGTATCAAATACTTAAATACACGGACAGCTTAAGGTTTTATATAATACATTCACATCTCTTATAACCTATAATTTATTGTTACATGTCAAACGTAAAAACATGGACAACGTGTATGATTTAAATAAATAAAAAAAAAAGAAAAAGCAATGTCCGTTACAGATGTTGTATATTATCACAAATTAAGCGATCAAAGGGTAATTTGTAAATTGATATCAACATCGAGATCTTCAATCCTTTATAGTAAAGTTCTTCTACAAAAAAGCTTTTTACAACGTCTTAAGTACATAACTTCGAAATCCTATAATTAATGTATAGTTTATACGGTTGAAAACTTTATATTAGAATTATGAATAATGCATATAACACATGTCGCATGGTAAGCGAATGGGAATTTATTGTATTGTTGTAAGCAATAAATATTTCACATCGTATTCCCTAGGCCTGTTTTAAATTTCGATAACGCGTCGGAGAAATCACTGCAAATATGTTTTATAGTCTGGGTAACTTATAACTACTCATTCTATAGAATTCTTATTTACTACCTTTGATTGACTGATAAGACGATTACGTTGATATAAAAAATGTTATATAAAATCTATCGTTATTGACTAAAGTGGACTCGAGTAGACCAGATTTTTTGATTTTAAAATTTTTATCATGTTAGGCCGTTATATGGTAGAAATTTATTTACATCGCCTACTGAACATTTTCGACGTAAAGCTTAGTAAAGTTTACAACATTAAATATGGGAACACTGTTTTCAAATTCTACAAGGATGAAATTCCTTTCGACCTTTACGTTGAATAGTGCAAGGAACTTTCGACAATACAAAAGTAAACTACTGTCTAAAATTATTTCGGAGCAGCCATTAAAACAGTACATTTTCGTTTGCAAACATAAGTTTGTAACGTTCAGAAATAACAACGAAGTACTAATAGAAAAAGATTTTTAACAACTTAAAACAACATAATAATAACCTAACGACTAGCTTAAATTTGATAAAAAAGATTTAAAAAATGTAAAGCGAGGTTGGCGTTCATAGTTCATTTCTCGCATTAAAATTTACTTCCGATTACAATTGAAATATCATATAAACCATTTTAATCTTAAATTATAACCTCAAAAAGTAAGTTAATTGTAAAATATCCGTATCACAAAATTGAATGTATCGCACAAATCAAAATATCTACAAAGGTATTTATTATACACACATATGTATAAGAAATGCGATTAATACTTTTCCAGCGACAGTCATTCATATAATGCAATAGTCGTCTATATATTCATGTATTTATTACTACATCAGTATAACAACGCAGGCCGCTATTTTCACAACGTCGTAATGGAAAATGGAATACGATTACTTTGATTTTCCGCAATTGCGTCTACACGGAGATCATAACATTAGGTAACTGTCGGTTCTTATAAAAAAAAATTACACAGCGTCATTTCACTGGGACAGTTCACTTTCACTTGCACATCACGCGTTACCGTTCATCGCCAAACAGAAGTTTGGCGAAATACTTCCATCAGCTGTGCTCGTCTATGTTCGCTATGACGTGCGTGTACAGGTGGTGTTGCACCACATCGACTAGATCGTATTCTAGGGTCGATAGGCCATCCTTCTGGAATGTTTTACTCGTCTGTGAGAGCAGCTGATATCTGTAAACGTTTTATTATTGGGTAAGACCGCAGCACAAAAACCAAGAGGGAATTGAAACGGATGTTTTGCCGATTGGTGTCGATAATGCACCAATGTTATATCATCATTAGCTACGAGAAAAAAAATCGGTTGAAAGTTTGATATAGCGCTCAAACGGACATCTTGAATAACTCACCTCTTAGGATTTGGAGCGGATTTCTTATGATCTAACATCGCGTATCTTGCAATCGACATCTTGTACCTTGCTATATGGTAGTTGACCTTCTTCAACCTGTGGAAAAAAAGAAGTTATAATTATTGTGGTCCAAAGTACTGCTTAATCAAAAATTTTAAAAACTGCAGACATCAAGAAAAGCTTTTCATGTATTAGAATATCAAGAAATTGACTTAAAGTTGAGAACTCTTGAGCTGTCACAAAACTGTATTAATCTAAAACTATTAATGGTTTTTATAAGTACTTTTATATTACTATTTCTAGTACAGATAGCGTATTTCTATAATCTTTACTAATTTGTCAAGCCTTTATCCTTTTCACCTGTAAAACATATCATCGTCTTCGCCACCCCAGCCCCAATATTTGTTTGAAAATCCGTTTACTTTAGTGAATTGCTCAAGCGTCATAGCTGACACGCCACCGAAGAGCTCTTCGTAAGGTAACCTAAAAAATTCAAATTATAGATTAACACCACTCATCTCAGTGTTAAAAGAAAAAGGGGACAGTTAAAGTAAAATGAAAGTCTAAAATACAACAAAATTTGTTGCAGCAACTTTATAAAAAGTACTATTAAAAATTGAAATATATTTATTGTCTCAATTAAATGTGTTCATCCGTATATATCAGTTAAGATTTCTGGTAAAGATTTAGGTTCATTATATTATTTCGGCTATTTTGTAAACAATATCTTCAATATCTTTGTTGACATCGTACGTAAACGAAATTGAAAGATAAAAACCAGCCCATAGTGTTTCGACAGAAAGGAATTGAGCAGACTCACCGGAAATTGAGTTTATCAATCGAAGCCGACATGTGTCGGGGTTGTCTAGGACACGAGTACAAGTTCCTCTGGTCCAACGGCAGGAGATCTATGTCGTGGAAAATAAAACATTGCCATCCGCCGGCCTTTTGTTTTTGACTCTCCGCAAAGCCGACGTTCATCAGCTTCGCTCGATTGAAATCGCTGTTACCTGAACGGAAACAATGGAAATGAGGACATTTGGAGAAACGAAAAAACAAAATGCAATGTAGAGACGAATGTTTTAGCGTTCAAAGTGAGCGCAATGAAGCGGAAACATTTGAAATCAGAAGCGCTGAGGCACGAAACGCTCAATATTTAAACGTGTCCTCGACTGTTTTGTGTGTCGACAGTTTGCTCGAAAATGAAAGGAAACTCTATTTTATTTGTTTTAACATTGAGGAGATGGAAAACGCTAAGGTAAAATGATAAAATCATATTTACCATCCTGTTCCACGATAAATATACCATACTCTATTTGCTGTTTCATCAGGAATGGATGCATATGATTCAGGAATATGGCCAGATGTTGCTGACGGTCTCTGAAAGGGAAACAGCATCATATAACACTTACTTCCTTACGATTGCGTTGTCTTCATTTATATATATATATATATATATATATATATATATATACTAGCTGCTGTACGCGACTACGTCTGCGTAGAGGGGTGAAAATTTAGGATTGTATGTATTTTTGTATGCTGTGTCATAAAAAAATAGAAACAAATGTTTTATATAAAAAAAAATTTAGGGGTGGACTACCCCCTTAACATTTAGGGGGACGAAAAATAGATAGTAGCCGATTCTCAGACCTAATGAATACGCATATAAAATTTGGTAAAAATCGGTCGAGCCGTTTCGGAGGAGTTCAAGTTCGAACCCCGTGACACGAGAATTTTATATATTAGATATACATTTGTTGGTGTTTTAGTCCAGGCTCGTTTATAAGTAATAGTGATTTTTCCTCCAATTTATTTTCGAAAATGTCACATTACGCCCAACTGTCTACCCTAAGTTAACATGCTCTCTGATTCAATTATGTTTATTACATTACGTTTAACATAAACAAAAAATTTGAAAATTGAAGACTTCATATTAACTTATTTTTTAACTTCTCGTGGCTATACCTTAAGAAGTTAACATGTATTGTATTAAGGGGTTGTAATCAATTATCTATACCTATTTATATCAAATTAATTAAACATTATGTCTGTTACGATTCCATTTACTATATCTTAAGCTATCAGTTAATTATCTATTGTATTTTATCTATGAAGTATCGAGCTAGATGTTATTGCCACTTTCAAGATATAATATTATAAGTGCCACGTGTGTATGATACATAAATGTCAAACGATCACGTGGACGAACTTTGCAATTACGAGATTAATTGGAATATCTATAAATTTACATTTTGTGACAAGATATGTAAAAAAAAAAAAAGAAAATTAAACTCTTTTATACAATTATGAAAAGTCTAGCTTCAGTTTGCGTAGTTGCTAAGCCACACGGAACAAGTGTTTGTATGATCCACAAATAACCTTTCCGGATCTGGGTACTAATTCCCAAGGCGGGTTGAAGTCGGGCTGGCAGGCGGTCGGTCGTAATAAACTAGCTAATACATATCAATAAAAACATATTCGCATTTTGTGCTGAACCTGTCTAGGTTCTCCTTTACCCTGTTCTTATCCCGGACAGGAGAAAGAAGAAGATATATTTATATACTCACCTGTACGGTACGATTATCGCAACTTTATGCCTTGCTGTACAATTCGGAGGAGAGTAACGTCCACCACGGTGCACCTCTGGATATTTTGTTTCAACAAAGTCCAGTTCAATTTCGGTTTTGTTGACAGATATTGGTCCTAAAATGTTAATGTATTCTTTATGTGAGAAGGTGACAAGCGAGCTTGCGTTTCACCTGATGTTAAATGATAAACTCCGCCCGTGGACATTTGCAACACACGTAGGGTTGCAGATACTAATAAAGTGGGCCCTGGTTACCTCACTCATCAGACGAAACACAGAAGTATAACACTTCCACTTCATGCCGGTCTCCTGTGAGGTCGTGGTACTTCCCCGGACGGACTTTCCCATTCATGCAACAGCGAACTGTTGCGTGGCCCTACCACGCCTATTTCACGAATATTCATTAATTTACATAAACAGGAATTATATAAGGATATTCTGAATTATCCTGAAATAATGCAAATTGTGAGCCTCGAAAGCAGAACGATTTGTTGCTATTATTTTAAATGGTTGACCTGATTCTACCTTGAAAATGTTTAAATTTTCGAAATGATTTACGACCATTAAAGTAGAATCATCTACGCGTAATGCGTCGAAATGTGCTCTAGTAGAAAGTAGGTCGCGATCTACTTATACGGGGCATAAGTTTTTGAGTTTTTGGAAACAATTACCTAAATCAGGCGGCATCTCGTCGCACAACGGTAGCGTCGGCTCGCTCATTTTAAGATTAAATTCCTCAGTCGTCACCAGATTCTTTATTCCCTCCATTATTTTCGTGATGAGCAGTGGCGTGCTGGTGTCCTCCGTAACGTTTGGCCGGGTCATGTTCAAGAGTGGGTGTTTCGTTGTATCGAGCAGAGTGCTAATATTGAAGTGGACTCTAGAGGTCTTCACTTGCGATGGGTGTACCTGTGTGAGCTTTTTGCTTTCGATCGGCGTGATAGGCAACCTCCTAGGCCAACCGGCTGATAGTCGTTCACCGCTCCTGCATTGGAAATCCCGTTTAAATATACCGATACACTGATGCGTTATACAGTGCGTAGTAATGGTCTAATTCTTAAAGATGTTTAAAATTCGTTATTCAGCTTAAAGTAATATGCTTTTGTATGCTTTGTGAGCGTTTACCATGGTTTCCACTGGGCTGTTCCTTACAACATTGACTTGCAAATAGCCCGTTTAAACAACTATGTTTATGTCTCACTTCAGACAATATCATTACTTGAATCAATAAAAGAATCACGATGCATGGATTAAGTACCTGAGCGTAGACTGGGTGGCGTTATAGACCGGCGTGTAAAGATAGGTTCTGAGGGGTGACGCGTCGAGTATGGACCCGAAGAGGTACTCCACTGCCGCTAGAGCCAGTACGAGCAGCAGCAGAAGGCGGAGCGCGCGTCCAGCCCGCCCGCCGCCCCCGCTTCCGCCTCCGCCCATCAACGCATGCGATGCGCGCACGTGGTTGCCGAGCCCTTTTGATCAAAAACCCACCCTTAATAATACTGCAAGCACCATTGACAGCCGCTTGGTACTACAGGTCTTAACAGTTAGTGTGTGGTTCCCTTTTTTACCTTTTTTACCCCTTTGAAGTAAATATCAAGCGAGGATGGAATATACACTGGTATATTAAAAAAAATATTTGTGTTAAGTTGTACTGTTATGCTACTAAGTGCTTGGAAATTGCTTTTTATTTGGGTTTGCTGTAGTTTTTCTTGAACTATGAACAGGTTAAATCAAATTTTATATCTGTGATTACTACGCGAGAAACATAATATATACAAATAAATTAATATATAATCAACGAATTATAACATAAAAACGAGTAACTAATGATGATTACTTTGAATTTAAACGCATAACGATCGGTAGTTCTCATTATAGAAAGGAAGTGCATTTCACAGAAGAATAGATCGAACTAAAATCTCGAAGTATCGAATCGATAGAAGTTATAGGAGGACACTGAAGTAAAGATTGTTTGAAAAGTGAAGCGTTTTGTAAAAAGCTGGGAGGATTGTGAAGAGAGAAGGATTAAGAGATGAATTGAAGGATTAAAAGTGTGCCGCGGGAGTCGAAACTACAGAATGGATAATCAATTCAGTTGAGACTGGTATGAGTCACACATACATTTGAAGATTAAAATGTATCGAATGTAGTTTAATTAATAAGATAATTAAATTTGTTGACATTCATAACAGCGCGACTAGGTTCAAGGATAGTCCCCATCAAACAATTTCGGAGGGGCTGCAAGTCAGTTTTCTATACGTTTGCATTATCAGGAATTAAAATTTGTAAAAAATAAACGATTCATGGTACCACTTACTCATTACACGTTCACAATTAATGGCCTCAAATGAATCGCAGAGCGCTATTAAGTTTTCAATTTCGCTTCACCTCGTTTAAACCAATAATTGAAAAACGACCATTAGTGCGATACGGACTTGTTTTATTGGCGAAGTGAGCATTTCATGTGACATTTTTTTTTCTTTTAGGGCTTAAAGGCTAGGATGTTACTTAAGCACTGTTGTGAACTAGTAAGAGCAATGTAGTCAGATCCAAAATTATAACGAGAAATGGTAATAATTTGATCAAATTTCCATTAATTAATTAATTTTGGATTCTATTGAAATCAATTTAAATGGAATCCGGAATGCTACTAAAGCCATTTTCATTTATACGCTAGTAGCCCACCTAGTCCAGTCAACAACACTCCACAATATTTTCTGATGATTTAGAGGGTTTTCTGTAAGATCAACTTTGGTGTTTTGAATATCTACGGTTGGCGAGGTAAGCTATCCATCAGATTTGCTCCAGCAGATTTGCTGATTTGATCAGTTTGCCCATTTGCTGTGCAAGGTGGTCTTTTTAATCATGATCTATTATAGCTTTTGTTAACAATAATCAATAAACCACTCGTTTATAATAAGGTTAAATTTGATAGTTTTACTTCAATGTAAAACTAACAAATTAAATGTAACTTATAAACCGCAGCCGGCCTTCGTTAATACGTAATGGACAAACCTGTGACGCAAAACTGTGCAAGCAAGGTGCTCTGTGAAAATATCCAGTCATTTTCAGGGACGTCGGGTTTTGCTATTTGGCGCCCATTTTGTGGTTACATCTGAAAAGAAAACAAATATTAGTTATTTTGTTCATTAATCCACATGAAAATAAAAAAATAAAACGAGGTAAAATCCTGGAAGCAGACGGCGTTTCAGTTTTAATAGGTACTATTTTATTAATTTACACCAAAATTTTAATTAATATAATGGTATAAAAATAAATAGCAAATAAATTCGATCAACAATAATAAATTAATGTTTTCAAAGTATCGTGATTGCTTCAGCTCATGAAAAAACTCGTGCTAATTTAAAACCCGTATAGTCGTTAGGTCGTACGTCGACTGCAAATTAAGAGCAATGAAAAAGGTACCTCACTGCTCTTTTCATACGTTAACTGTTAATGTAAATGGAGACTATATAAGTTTTCTGATGCGTCTGTGGCTTAAAAAATTGTTATTGCCGCGTTGTGCGCACGGTTCCGTTTCGTTTCTTCGAGTTGTTTTTAAACGGTTTTAGCTTGACCTGTTTCGGTGAAATCTTATAATTGAAATTTGACCCCCTTCCTGTTGACGGATTGATCTGAAGTTTGGTACGCAGCTATAGTTCTGATGACAATACAATTTAATACATTTATTATCATTGTAAATACAAGATGGCCGCCGGTACAAAATGGCGGATTACATTTATCACTACTTCATCAATATGGGTATCAAATGAAACCGTTTAACTTAAAAAAATATTTTACTCATTTTTCATTTACTCGGACTAGCAACATCAAAGAGACGAACAAAATGCGTCCGAGTTCTATATGAAATTACGCGCATTGCAGCGCTACCGGGGTACGTGACTTGTTTTCGTAAACAGAATGGGCGGGAAAAACGTTTCGTGGACGGATGTACACACGGTTTCCGGAACCTTCCAAACGCGTCTATACGCATGCTATAACCGGGGGGAAAATTTTGCTATAAATGTTTCAAAATGAACAATGCATGTGAATGGGGAGAGGTCCTTATTTTACGCCGTCATGGTGTTATACAATAATCAATATACAACATTGTTATGCAGTGAACGTATTTAATGTAAATAATATAACAATCACTGCCGAATTAATTCGTGTTGCTTATAGATCAAACAATTTGTGGACAGATCAATGACATATCAGTTTTACATGTATGTGCTGCGGTTTTCTACGACTCTCGGCGGACAGTATATTCTTATGAGCCATTTTGGGATAAGATCATTGTCTCCTAACTCTTTCTTGCCCCACAGGTTGCAGGAGCAAAGTAGCTTAATTTACATCATTTCAGAAAAAACAACGACTTAACATACAGTCATTACATACTACTGGCATTTTCAAAGTAAAATCGGGATTTATAAAAATTATGAACAGTTCGTCCATACAACCGCGTATTCTCGTTACCATTTATGAAATTAACCTGTGTTTCATAAATTATTATTTCATTTCATATCATCGGACTAACTTTATCAGCAAATTTTGGTTCAATCCGGAACAAATAATATATATCGTTTTTAAATGAAAAAATTATTATTTTTTTACTTGAAAACTTCGCAAGCGAGCAGGGGGTTCACCTAATTTTAAGTGATTATTACCAACTATAGACATGTTCAACACACGAGGAGTAGCAAATACGTTGCCAATATTTAAAAAACTGGCCAAGTGCGAGTCGGACTCGCGCAAGAAGGATTCGGTACCCTTATTTATAAAAACGGTAGAAAATATATGCATGGGAGGCCCCTTTAAATTTTTACTCTCTTTTTTAGTATTTGTTGTTATAGCGGCAACCGAAATAATAATAATAATAATAAATATTTACGACACATTAGTACAAAACATTTTCTAGTCTCAAACTAAGCAAAGTTTGTACTATGGGTACTAGAAAACTGATAAACATACTTAAACATACTTTTCTTTTGTAAATAAATACATATTATACATATAGAAACACCCAGACAATAGAAAAACACCATGTTCATCACACAATATTTTTCCAGTAGTGGGGATCGAACCCACACCCTCTGGCGCAGGAGGCAGGTACACTACCCACTACGTCATTCGGGTCGTCAACATATCAAATATATATATATATATAAGAAACGAATCTGTGAAAATTGAAATGAGATATCTGGTGACAGACGGACAGACAGACAGTGTTAGTAATAGGGTCCCGTTTTACCCTTTGGGTACGGAACCCTAAAAGTATTTATACTTAATATATTAAAATGGAGTCCCTGGTGCCAACACAAATGGAAATATCCAAGCGGGATCATCATTTACTTTAGATGTGGTAGGGTCCCGCAACAGTCCTCGCTATTGCATGAAAGGGCAGATCCGTCTGGGTAAGAACTACGTCTTCGCAGAAGACCGGCGTGAAGGTGAAGTGTTACATTTTTGCGTTTCATCTGGTTTGGGACGTCACCGGAACTCTCTTCATTCAAATTTGGCAACGCAACTGGAACAACACTAAGGGTGCTAATGCCCATGAGCTGCCCTTATCACTTAACATCATGTGAACTGCCAGTCCACTAGCCACCTTTTCACTTATAAGAAAGATCTTTTTTTGGTTATGGAATTTTACCGTGTCAATGGTCTAATATAGTTGAGAAGACATATTTCGAATGTTATTGCGGGTTCTAATTGGGTTCGATCCCGTTCGAATTAAGGGAAGTAATAGATCACAGTAATATCAGTAATATTTCGGTCCCAAGTATTGCATTTGTACATCTCAAAGTATTAATTTAATTTAAAAAAAACTGTTGTATATGAGAACATGTTACGACAACAACGTTTGTTTTTAATTTTATTTATTAAAATGCACGCTTTGAGAGTAAAAGGGGCAAAAACGCTCTAAAAAAATTATTATTAGTATTACTTCTAATAGCATTTACTTTTTGGAGCCGAGATCAAAGAAACGTTTCGTTTGACATGTGATTGTTGAAATGGATTTGATTTGGGTCCACGTTTGCCCTTTGCGTTAGGACCGTTTGACTACATTTTGTACACCATTATATAGATACATATAGTTGAATAATAGATGTATTATTTGTAATGTTTTTAATGGATGCCACTACTTAGAATTTGATTTTTACACATTGATAAATATCCTCCTTATATCAGCTAGAAATACGAATGCAAATTGAATTTTAATATTAACTTAATTTTCATTTAAACCTTTACATTTTTAAATGTTGTTTAAATATTAACAAAATACAACCCACGCAATAACGCAAAACGGAATATTAAATGCGAAATAGCAGTTATTAACTTATTCTACCAGACCACCTGGCGATATCTGTACTGTACGAAATTATTCCCACGGTATTAGCAGCAAATTAAGTTTGCATAAAATTTAATCGAGTTAAAATGGTATTCGTGCAACTGTAGGATAAAATAATGTTATAAATATAGCCATAAAAGAGAAACACGAGAATAGCGTAAACATAAATAATATAGAGATAGAATTATTTGCTTTTTTTAATAAAAAGAAAGAACGTAATTTAGCAACAACTTTGAAAGTGAATTTCTGTCTCTGTTTGGATAGAGTTGTTGTTGAGCAAATAATAGTAAAGGTAGCCTGAAGCTATGCACAATATATAATTACAATTTGCAAAATTAGAACAAACTTCAATCGTTAGCTGAGACTCTGTTCTTGCGCGGAAGTTAAATCAGTTGGGAAATAAATCGTAAATATTGCAAACGAATGCACTAGCGAATATTACGTAAGACCTGCGAACAGTTGACAAAACAAATTGTATTATGAAGTCGCTTCAATCGTTTCGTCCGTGTTTATAACTGTTCAGCGGATATATTATTAGGGCGCGGGTATATTTCAGATATAGGTACTTCGGAAAACGAAACAATTTTCTTCGTTGAACACACATGTCATCGTACATATCGTTTCATCGAGCCAAAGCGAAACATTATCGGGTAGATCGAATTCGAAACATTTCCGAGTAGCCTTCGGACTTTGGAGAAGGTTGTTGTAAAGGAGCGGGTGGATGGCATAGATTATTCTAAAGAAATTGATGCTGACAATGTCTACTGATTCTACAACTATAAGGGTTTCAAGGATGTATTTCTTGTGAAACTAAATGGAATAATAAGGTCGTTATTAATTTTCATCATTAGTACATAATATTCTGAAAATCATTAGATACCTTTCATGCAAGTTTTAACACTGTGGTTGAGAGACCAGTTAGCCTTTGCACTCTTTCACTCAATGTCACCAAAACCAAATTTATTCCCTTCTTAATTAGTTCCACTTCTCAATCTAAAACGCCCATTCTTTTAAAAGTTCATCTCTGTTCTCGCCGAACATGTTTTTGTCAGTGCCTACAGACTACTTCTACTGCGAGATTAAAATACCTTGGCACAATAATAGACCAACATTTTAATTCTTAAGCGGATAGTAACCTACTTAAAGAGTTCGCAAATTGACATAATTGTGTCTATAAAACCCCTCGACACGTTAAAAACAATTATTCGTAATGTATATTTCGCACTTTGCCAGACGATTAAAACGTACTGCATTTCTTGCTGGGTTAGTAGTTAGTAGTTGCAAAGTTCATTTAAGGCCACTAGAAGTTGCTTTGCAATTTTCAAAGTGGCTTATCCACCCACGGTGAAGCAAAGAGTAGACGACATAAGGCCGGTCTGTATTGCAAGGCCAGCCCGAGGGTGCCGCTTCGAGTAGACTCATTGAGGGCTCTGGATGCGTGCGAGGATGATGCGGGGGGCAGGTTGGTATAAGAGGAGGAGCAACTCTACCTGTTCGCTGCAACAGGAGAGTGTTGGTATTGCATTTAGCCGCTCTTCGTTACCCACCGCAATTCGGCGTGGTTGTCGGTATTTGCACCGTTCTCCTTACCCTGTGCAGCCGATAAATGGTTGAACGAGGGTTTAAGAAAATTCAAAATGCTTATAGTTTCTAAATTAATGTAATACTGTAAATTACCAATGTCGATGTTATAAAATTTTTACACAAAAGATAAAGAAGTACCTATAAAATTCATTTCCCGAAAATTTAGAAAAATGAATTTTTAAAACATGGAAGAACAAAACTCTGACACGAAAAATTTAATTTAATTTTCATTTATTGCCTGCAAGTGTAAGACGCTTTGTTTTGCCCCTTTAAATATTTTTTCTTGTTTACCATCTCAAAACTCTTCGCGGGCGGTTGTAAACGATCTTTGGAACGCAATTTTCATCGCAACCTGATCAATGGAAATTAGTCCCGTGTTGAATTTTGTTCTTTCGCTTCCCTTCTTCGTTTCAAATATTCGAACCGATTTCATAATTTATGTTATAATAAAGTAATAACAAAAATCTTCGTAGTGTCAATAAAGAATACTCACTTTTATTTCCCTTCATAAGAACTGTTTTTTTTTGTTAATGGTAATTTAAATTCTATTTTATTGGTACGTGCCATAATTACCAGTCATCGGTGTTCATATAAGAACATCTCATCAGAAGAATATTATGTCATCTGGTTGTATGTCTAATAAATAAATAAAAAAAATTGACGTGGCATCTGTGTAAGTGTCATCTCAGGGGTCGATATAGCTCCGTTTGCTAGTTTCCTTCACGTAAACAATGTTCGCGCGCGATATATACGATAGAAAGTTCCAGAACGAAATACGGCGACAATTAAACGGTTCCACTCGGCTGACGGGAGATTCGATTACGAATGGTGACAGGAAAAGGATTCCGGGGATTACGAGTAACGTGTTAATTTCCTCTTCGCGAAGGGACGGATATCGCCGTTGAAAGCGCGCACGTCATGACCTTTCCCTGATTAGTTGGATTACGTATGGAACGGATAGAATCGCACTAGTAGCAACCCTAACTGCGAGCCTACGATCGGGTCAGTTAGGGTTGCTACTAGTATTTTTTTACGTGAGAAAGTGGCAAACGAGTTGGCGATTCACCTGATGTTAAGTGATAACCTCCGCCCATGGAAATTTGCAACACCCGTAGGTTGCAGATGCGTTGCCACCCTTAAATAAAGTGGGCCCCGCCCACTCGCCAGTGAACACTGTTGCGTGGGGTCCTACCACCTACCTAGTGCGATTAAATATATGATCAATGTGATAGGACCACGCAACAGTCTTCTATGTTGCACGTATGGGCAGGTCCGTCCGGGGAAGTACCACGACCTCACAGAAGAGCGGCGTGAAGTGGAGGTATTATACTTCTGCGTTTCGTCT